TTTATTATTTTTTCCTTAAAATACGGCAAACTAGATATGGCAGCTTAGATTTGTATGATAACAACACTGAACAAGTCACAAATTATAAAGTTAAGGCGCAAGTTGAGAAAAATGTCGCGCTAGTCGTTATTTGTGCGGTTTTTAGCAGCTATCTACTTTTTATTTAAAAGATATATCAACTAATAAAAAACACATTATATTTCTACATAATCTTGATTCCATAAGAGTCGTACCTAAACAGTTACCTACTTTTACTAAGTAAGTACTTATACCTACCCGGGCATCATTTAATTACAACCCAAAAACCCATATAAACTAAACATTTTTAAAACTAAATTTAACTAAAAGAAAACTAAACTGACCATTTATTTTTTAACTCAAAACAGGACATGGGTTTATTTATACTCTAAAATCCATAACATTATATAATTAGTGTTCACTATAAAATTATATTCCGTATAGACGGTAATTATTAAATGCAACATTTTTTTAAAATTATTAATTTGTCAGTGGTGATGATTTTAAATAAGAATAATATGATTTTAAATAAGAATAAACAGTGGTAGAGCCACGCGGCAGCTTTTGCTGTCGCACGGATGAGCTGGCTCGAACCGGGGTGGTACCACGACCTCACAGAATACCAGCGTGAAGTAGAGGTTTACCTCTGCGTTTCGCTTGGTGAGTGCAGGTAGCCGGAGGCCCTTTTTACTGGAAATGAGGCATTCCATCTTAGTCCTCACGGGTGACAACGCATCTGCATGTAGATTTGTAATAGAGGATAGGTGTAGATGTCTATGGGCCGCAGCAACCACTTACCATCAGGTGGACTGTGTGCTCGTTTGTCACCCTCATCCTATAAAAAAAAGAATAAAATTCTGGGCACGTTTTTTTTATTGTTACCTTTGTTAACAACATCGCCTTTAGAACTGGAACCGTAAGTGTTTTTTTCAGACGTTCACAATTTATTAAAAATAGAAAAATACTCTTTCTTCTGGAGAATTTGTACCAGGTAGACATAAAATATATTCGATTAAAAAAATTATGTTAAAGATTGTTGACTTTGAATACTTCCATCCAACGAGTTACGTGACAATTTTGTGTCCCGGAGCTTTATTTGGGGACAATGGGACAGGTGACCGAGGAAAGGGACAGTCCCGTTCAAAACGGGACGTATAGTCACTTTACCTATAACCCGGCGACGGCTCCGTGGCGCAGTGGCTTAGCAATCAGTTGTTGCGCTGGGGGCCGCAGTTTCGAATCCCGCACGGAACAAGTATTTGTATGGCCTACAAATAATTGTTCCGGGTCTGGATGCTTGTCCTTGGGCAATTTATGTTTGTAAACTGCCTCCACGACACAGGAGAAAATCCTAGTGTGGGAGCAACGTTTTTTTAAAATTGAAATTGAAAGATTGAACCCTTATACTTCTTGTTGATTTTTGTATTACCTTTATTAAAGTAATATATAATTAATTATAAAATTTCATAATTACATAATATATGAGAATACATAATTCTAATATAATGCAACTAATATACCGAATAAAAAAATTAAAATACATTCATCGTTGTACGCCGTGTGTTTATCCCTAAAATAGTTTATTGATGTTGAAAAAATAATACTATGTTCGTACAGTAGATGGCGTCTTGCATATTTCTGACGCGATATATTGTAGCGAGTCGGCGCGCCGGCCGAATGCTCAAGGTCGTTCGCATGGAGTAGCCCCTTAACACAGGTGCGCGTTCCGCGCTAGTTGGCGCTAGTGTAGATCTGATGGGGTGCTCGATGTTGCAGAAACATCGATGATGACATCGATGTTGGCACCGATTGCTCAATATCGATGTTCGATGTTTATCCTACTCAAAACATCGATGTTGTTGATGTAAGTTAAAATTAGATGAAAAAAATTGTCATGTTGTTTATAATATATTATTAATGAAATAAAAGAAATTAATAAACAAAGCAATGTAAAAGACTAAATAAAAAAATTGGAAGAACTTAAAAAAATCTAGTTAATTTGTTATATAGTCCAATATTTTTTGGTGATTGATTGAAGAAATAGTAATTTTGACAAAAAAGTACTTTTCAATCTGTTTCTCTGTTGATAAAAAGTTGAGCCAGCTTTTGAGAATCAGCAGCACCACCCAGATGGCGTTGATGTAGCGATAGCGGTCAAATATCTCACTGCAAGTTCTTTTTTAATTTTGGATAGGTAGAACCAATAACATTGTTCCAAACATACATTGGATCTTGTTTAAAATCAACCACCGGATTATAAAAAAATAAATAAAAACAAAGAAACAGACAACTGATAACGATACCACAGACTAATAAAGCGACAACAGTTTTTTTTTATATAAAAACGATACCTCTACACTGGGATTTTCTCCTGTATCGTGGGAGCAGTTTAAATACACAAATTTCACTAGGACAAATATCCAGACCAGGAACAATTATTTGTAGGTCATACCAATGAAAAATGAAAAATGAAAAATGATTTATTGATTTACAATGATACAATTTAAAGCAGTCGCAAGGGCCCCTGTACTAGGTTGGTTACCTGTGTTACTGGGTACCCCGCTCATCCACCAAGACTATACAATATTAATCAATAAATAACAAAAGGCAAGGCATGCCCTAGCATTAGGGAGTAATGTAATTTATAATATAATAAGTGTGTGTGTGTGTGTGTGTGTGTGTGTGTGTGTGTGTGTGTGTGTGTGTGTGTGTGTGTGTGTGTGTGTGTGTGTGTGTTGTGGGTATGTGAGCAGTGCTTTAACAACTGGTGAGGCTGTTCCAAGTATAAAAGTTAAGTAATAAATTGTTCAGTTTCCTCGTAGTTTAGTGTTAATAAAAATTGTGTTACTACACATTTGACTTTAGTCCACGTCAGGGGGTTAATATGCAATCTGCTGTTAAATTTATTGTAAAGAGATATGGATTGGAATGCGTATTGTTTTTGCTTAAATTTTGTTTTATTTTGTGGTATATGGCAAATTTTGGTGCTCCTACGTTTTGGTGTATGATGACGTATATAAGGTAAATGTCGATGAGTGTTTAGGATGCAATTCAATATATAAATCTGGCGAGTGCCGAGCAATTTATAAGACTTATGTAGTTCAAAAGTTGAAAATCGAAACGGTTTAAAGAACATTACCTTAATTAGAGATCTTTGAGCTCTTTCTAGTGCTATTATACGTGTTTTTGCTGCGCCACCCCAAACAGGTATACAATAACTCAGTACCGATTGCACAAGAGCTTTGTAGATGGTAATGAGGGTCGTTTCATTTGCAACACACCTGAGTTTTTTGAACACCCATGTTAGTTTTCTTATCCTGTCAGCGATGCTTTCAATGTGCTGACTCCATGTAAGATGCTGATCAATAGTTACACCGAGATATTTAATGGTACTAGTCCTGGTGATTTTATCACATGAGCAATTACTATGGCTATTTAAATAAGGATTATGGCAGGTATGAACTGTTAGATTAAAATTAGAATCAGGTTGTGTATTTTTCCGTATAGAAAAAGGAATGAATTTAGTTTTATTAATATTTAGGGTCAGAAGGTTTGATCTTAGCCAGTTAGATATGTGGTGGATTCCGGAGTCAGCGATAACCCTTAGATTTTCCCATGATTTTGCATTAAAAATAAGAGCGGTGTCATCTGCGTAGGTATATATTTGACAATTTTGTAGGTTTAAATTGCATAAATCGTTGACATAGATTAGAAATAAAGTAGGCCCGAGGACGCTACCTTGAGGAATACCATAGGAGATATTTGATGGACGGCTAAGATATTCACCAAGTTTGAGTTGTTGCTGACGTTCAGTGAGATAATCCGATAGAAGCGCATGAGGCAGACCTCTTATACCATATTTATTTAGTTTGTCTAACAGGATAGGAATAGAAACGGTGTCGAACGCCTTGGCCAAATCCAAAAAAACTCCAAGACATTTGTTACCAGAGTCCAGGTGCTTACTTATCTCTTCAGTCAAAGCCAACACCGCGTCCTGAGTAGAAATTCCATTTCTAAAACCAAATTGATTTTTAGAGAGCAGGTCGTTATCTATGAGATATTTTTTCAATCTATTATTTATTAGCTTCTCCAGAATTTTGGATAGTACTGTTAACACAGAAATTGGCCTGTAGTTGTCGACATCATCTTTACTTCCACTTTTATGTATGGGGGTTACTAATGCCTTCTTAAATGTTATGGGAAATCGGCCACTATTAAAGCAAAGATTGTAGATATGGCAAATTATAGGTGTAAGGGTATGTCACACATTTTTGAAATAGTTTATATAAATTTTATAACTAGCGGCGTTACTATCCGTTTCAAATTTCAAAAGGGAATTACATTTTGTGCAAGCCGTTAACAGCGAAGATGACGGATTTTTGGTTGCAGATTTTTTTTAAGAATAACGCTGATTACTATGCTGTGGAACATAAAAATGTGAAAACAGCATTGTAAGTACCACATAGGAATTATTTATTTACAAACCTGTATGTAGTATGATCATCATTCAGAAGTTTTATTTTAGATTATACTTAATTAAACATTATTGCCGGTATAACAAGTGAAGTATCTATATTATGTTTTATAAGACAATATACATTAAAATACATCAATGTAGTGTGCTCCTTATGTAACAAAGAATAATTTTAAATGGTTTTCTAAAGCTAGTCAAATAGCCTACTTCGACATTATAGTTGACAGTAAAGTTTGATACACCATAACGATAATTTTTAAGTTATTGTTCATGAATTCAGAATTATTCAAATTTTAAATATTTTAGAGGAGTTGCAAGATTTAGTTTATATTGATTTCCCGGTTTCGCATTGTTCTCAAGTTCCCAATAATCGATTATGGGTTCATCGATGTTTCGGTGTTTGACATGTGACAACATCCTTGTTCTAATTTTTAACATCGATGATGATCATCGAACACCCATAGATAAGAACATCCTCCCTAATCTGTGATCTGAAGTTCTGAATTCTGATTTCGAAGTTCTGAACTGAAGATCAATAACATTAACAAAGAATTACCTAAATAATACTGTGAGAAGAGCGCAAGTTTAAGATTAAGTGGGTGAAATATAAAACGGTACCACGAATTTTATACGATGTAAGTCAAAAACATTTAAAAATATTTTTTAATTAACTAACCTTTATGCGGCATTATTATTAAATTAAGTAATTTTCAGTTTTCGCAAACATGGTACAAAAAGGGCCAAGACCACTGGTGCTTTGCGGGCCATCCGGATCTGGAAAAAGCACTCTGCTTAAACGTCTACTTAATGATTTTCCGGACAAATTCGGCTTTAGTGTGTCGCATACCACGAGAGCACCACGTACGGGTGAAAAGGATGGTATACATTATCATTTCACTAATAAAGATGATATGATAGCTGCCATTGAAAAAGGGGAATTTATAGAAACTGCAACATTCAGTGGAAATATGTATGGAACAAGGTAATAAATGTTTTTCCACGTGCTCTGCTTAGAGGTAGTTGGCGCTTTGCCAAAATATATTTTGTCTTCAAACATCTAGTCATTGTTTACACATCTGTATCCCCTGTGAAAAAAGATCTAATTGATGTATAAACAAATGTACTTTTATCAACCATCAATAAATAGGTATTATAGTTGTTAGCTTGTAAGGTACCACTAACATTTATGTTATGCTAGTCAGTTATGTGTCCATATAATAAACAATATATGATAATTTGTAAGACTTAATTTTATTCTTAACAAGAAGGTAATATGTCATGCTAAAACAAGGATTTTGCATTCTCTTTTGCATTAGGCATTCTTACCACCATTTAAGTATGCCTTCTCACTGCACTGACATAGCATACTGTACTGACATAGCACTTAGTATTATACATACAATGTGTTGGAACTTTCTGCTGCTGCCACTTCATATTCTGGTGGGTATTGGATTGTTTCAAATTAAAAACAAAAGTCCCTGTTAAATGACCAACATCAGTTCCAATCGGTAAAACAACTGCACTGACATAGCATACTGTACTGACATAGCACTTAGTATTATACATACAATGTGTTGGAACTTTCTGCTGCTGCCACTTCGTATTCTGGTGGGTATTGGATTGTTTCAAATTAAATACAAAAGTCCCTGTTAAATGACCAACATCAGTTCCAATCGGTAAAACACATCCTACCTTCATACTTGTCTAAATGAAGTGTTTTCTTGTCATGACTGTTACTTAAAACACACTAAGCATTACATGTTTATTTGATATTTTCCATATAAATAATAAATATAAACATATGTAATTATTTAACTATTTTATTTAGACAAATTATTGAGATAGTTAATAGTAAAAGGAGAAGGAGACGTCTCCATACATTTTTGGGCCCAAGTGTTAACAAGATGAAAGTGGGATCATTTGAAAGTGTATATTAAGTAATTCATATCTGAAAATATGGCGAGATTTGTCAATCTAGGAGCTGAGTTATTGTAGAATAAGTAAAAGTGAAATTATCTATTTATTTTATTTTGTTATTACACTGTAACAGGCTATTTTTCGCTATAATTACTTAAAGATATAAAAGCAGGATCAGTATAAAATCACCAAAAAAGTTGTGGTTAATAATAAAATGAAATGGTGAAACGATTAACAAAAGTTAAAACAACAACAAGTGAGTAAAGTGAATATTAGGGATATCGATCTGAGATCGATTACTTGAATTGTTGTTGTAACTTTCACTTGTTGGAATTTTAATATTTTGTATTTTTTATTATTATTTTGTAGATATGTATGCAATTTTTTTATCTCCCTAGTTAACACACAAAAATAATCGAAAATATATATTAAAATGCTCGATTTAAGCTAGAGTCGATTATATTGCGCTCTTTTAAAACAAATCTAAAATCTGTCTTTTTCTTTTAAGTAAATAGTTTGAAGTTTGAACTATCAAGTCAAGTTTCAAAATGAAAAGTCATCTATTGGTAGATAACATTCAGAGACGAGAATTTCACTAATGTATTCTTTATGGTAATTGATTTATTGCCTTAAAGAATACACTACAATCGATTTTCTAACTTATTTCTTATTTTTATTGTTTTTTCGAAATATAGATTGTAAAAAGAGCTACTTTTTTGTATTTTGCTTAAGAAAAATATGGCCAATTTTTTAAAGTATAAACGAATTAGTTAACTTCAGGCCTAAAAATTCCATTCTCCTTTCTGTAGGTCTTTAATATATTAAAATATTCACTGGAATGTCACTGTCATTGTTTTAAATGTAGTATAACAATAAACTGTTTTTCTGGCTCTACGTTACACAAACTTGGCTTTACTAAAATCAGTGCTGTGGGTACTCTTCAGCTTACGCTGAGTGGGGATCAATTTCCAACACAGCAGTACAATAGAAACAGAAACTTTATTTTATGCAATAAAGATTATAAATAACACTTATTGAAAGTCACTCTTTTGTTTAATTACCACTGGTTCGAAAAGAAACCGCTGTCCTGGGAAGAACTAGCAAGTAACTCAGCGGGACTAAAAAATAATAACAGCTTACAATCATGTATGTTACACAATTAACCACACCAAACAAATTAGAAATAGCTTGGTAGCAATCACCTCATTCCCAGGGTTATAATCTATACAAATAAATAAAATTGAAGTGTCTGCTTGTAATGTCAAAATTACAGTTTTTTACTAAATGCATATGAAAGTAAATACGGTACTTATAACTAAAATACAATTTTTAAAATTTTTGTGTCTGTCTGTTTGTTCCGGCTAATCTCCGAAACGGCTGGACCGATTTTGACGAGACTTTCACTGGCAGATAGCTGATTTTATAAGGAGTAACTTAGGCTACTTTTATTTTAGAAAAATAATTAGGGTTCCACCCAAAAACGTAAAAACCCTAACACGCGAGCGAAGTCGCGGCGAACAGCTAGTCATTCATAAATTCCTTAATATTATAATAACCCTTTTTATACAAACTTGTTTTAATAAAGTTTCTGAATTTCGAGCAGATCAAATTTTGTATATGTTCTGGGATTTTGTTGTAATAGTGTATATGTCATCCCAAGAATAAATTACTGACTCTGTGGAGTTGAGTAACTTATACTACTAGCTTGTCTGTTCCTAGTATTTACAGAATCAATATCACTTATTTTTCCATAACTACTATTATTTTTGTGTACGTACATTACATTTTCATAAATGCATTGAGAGACCAAAGGTAATATATTAATTTCCTTAAATTTTTATCGGAGTGATACTTTAGCTTTTAAATCATAGATTGCTGTTATGGCCCTTTTTTTTTTTTTTTTTTTTTTTTATAAGATAAGGGTGACAAACGAGCACACAGTCCACCTGATGGTAAGTGGTTGCTGCGGCCCATAGACATCTACATCTATCCTCTATTACAAATCTACATGCAGATGCGTTGCCACCCGTGAGGACTAAGATGGAATGCCTCATTTCCAGTAAAAAGGGCCTCCGGCCACCTGCACTCACCAAGCGAAACACAAAGGTAAACCTCTACTTCACGCTGGTATTCTGTGAGGTCGTGGTACCACCCCGGTTCGAGCCGGCCCATCCGTGCGACAGCAAAAGTTGCCGCGTGGCTCTACCACTGTTTAAAAACCTCTTCCTCCTACCTCTTCTGTCAAACAAATATAATTTCAGTGTCAGTCGCATGACTCCATAGCAAAATACAATACAATATTATGCTATGAAATAGCTAAAGTAAACAAGTCTAGCTGTTTCAACACTGGTAGGATTTCTAATCTTTTTTACAGCATATGCTGCAGAACTAAGTCTGCTTGCTAATTGTGATATATAGAGGCTCCATTGAAGCTTCATGTCTTATTTCAAGTGTTATTCCAAGAAAATTGGTGGTATCGACGAGACTATAGTTCCTCCCAATTTAATGTTACATTATTAACTTCTTTCTGCGTAGCATTGAAAGGAAGTTAATGGTTCTAGCTGGCAGTCTGTTAGTCTGTATGCCGACACGATTACTTCCGTTCCACTGGACCGATTAACTTTAAATTTGGTATGTGGATACCTTGAGGTAGTAGCTCGGTCGAGTTTGAATTTGGGTCCTGTTGGTCAAAGGGCACCAGAGATATGGGATTCACGCAGAAGGAAGTTGTTTTTCTTGAATTTACATTCAACTCGTTATTTAAATGTTTGACATTTTTGGAGTCATGAATTTCATACATTTCGTTTTAGTGCCATACATTTCGTTTAGTTATTGACATTAAACCAATTTACTAATTTAGTTATAGCGTTATTTACTTCGTCATATTTTAATAATTGTCATTTTAATTTGAAAATTAATGAAGTGTCATCAGCAAATAATACCATGTTACGGTTATCCCCTACGATGTAAAGTAAGTCATTAATATATACAAGAAACAGAAAGGGGCCGAGAATTGAGCCTTGAGGCACGCCCATTTGTACTATTGACCTGGAAGAGCTCATACTATTAATGACAACTTTTGCATTCCGTTACTTAAAAATGAAATAATTAATTTAAGAGCTTACTTCTTACACCGTAGTGTTGTAGTTTCCTGACTAATGTTTTATGGTGAACACACTCGAAGGCTTTGGATAGGTCACAGAATATACCCAAAGCATCCTAAGAATTCTCCCATGCATTGAAGATATATTTAATCAGCTCAACACCAGCATCAGTTGTCGAGCGACCCCTTGTGAAACCGAATTGATTTGTATGAAGTAAATTATTTACATTAAAAAAATTACATTTGATCAAGAATAATTTTTTCAAAAATTTTACTAAGTGTTGGCAGTACAGAAATTGGTTTAAAATTGGCGGGGTCTAATGTACTACCAGATTTAAATAAAGGTATTACTTTAGTATGTTTCATTAAATCATGAAACACACCATATTCGATACTAGTATTAAAAATTATAGCTAGTTGAGGCGCGATTACATGTATTATAGATGCAAATGCGGAAATCCCCCACAGATCTGCAGTTTTCTTAATATTAATAGTTTGAAAATATTTTACAATATCTTTTGATGATATTTCATGAAATGTAAAATTCTTTGTACACATATTTATATTTTGTTTAAGTAATAATTCGGCGACAGCAGGAGAAGAATTCAGTGACTTAGTGGCTAAGATCGGAATATCAGTAAAATATTTCTCAAAAACCAATGCAAAATCCTGATCTGTTTCAGTTAATTTGTTGTTAACACTTAACTGTTAGTTTGAATTGTGAGAGTTGACCTTACCAGTTTCACTATTAATTATACTCCACGTCATTTTAATTTTATTAGAAGCTGTTTTAATTTTGTTGCTCAAATGCAAATACTTAGCTGTGGAGCACAATCTTTTAAATATTTTATTACATTTTCCCTAAATTCGATGCTAGGATTATATGACCTTTCATGGTAAAGTTCATATAACCTTTGTCTGCTCTTATGGACTCCTACTGTCACTTAATCATTGAATTCCGACTGTTCAAGGAGAATATTTTAGAAGTAAAATATTATCAAATTCATTGCAAATGAGCTTAAACAATGTTCCATACAAAATATTAGGATTATTTTGGTATGAAAGTGATGGAAGTTTCTTCAATATATTACTTCTAAACTACTCCAAGTGACGTGCATTTCCTGGAACAAACACAACTCACTCAACTACTTGTTTTTTGTGAACATAATGTAATGAAACTAACTGTCCACAGTGATCAGAATTCAATTCTTGAATTATACATTTATGAAACGGCTAAACATTTGTAAAAATGTTATCAATACATGTTGCACTACATTCAGTAATACACGTTGGCTCTAAAATAAATTAAAAAGAACATATGATTTAAACAACAGATTTATTCTGTTTATTAAGTTCAAAACTTCCTCTATAATTTTTTCAAAAGTGTAGTATATAGAACATGGGGGGTCTGTAGACGCTCACAACAATGAAGTTCTCAAACTCAACACATGCCATTTCTACGCTTAACAGAGAAGCTCACAATATCTTTACGTTCTTTACACGGTAGTAATTTACTAGCCACCTCTTAAAACCGTTTCACTATTGAACAAACTGACCACCTTGGGATTACTGAAGTTAAACATTAAGTTATAAGCTTTTAACCAATGTTCATTCAGTAATACATAAAATATTCATATTTCTAGCTCTTTGCCTATCATGCCTTGTATTTCTATGATACATACTTGTATGATGCACCAGGTGTAAATAATTTTTATTATCACTTTGTGGAGTCATACAGTTAAGGATTTGTAAGCTACATTCTAAATTATTTGAATTATTATAACCGCTAGATATTACCTCTATGTCTCATTTTATAATTTAAATTACTTGGAACTGATTCCAAATTACATATTTAAGTCATTATACTGCTCAATAAGAAGCAGATGTTTGTGTAGCCAAGTCCTTGACTGAGTTAATATAGTATAAACAATAAGATAGCACATTTGCAATCTGTTTTAAATCATATTTGGATAGGTAATACCTATCCCTAGTCAAAAATTTCTTAAATAAATTATATATATCTATTAAATTAATTCTATTATTATAATTATAACAATTAAATGTCAGGTTTATACTATTATTACATGAAAAGTTATTTATTTATAAATTTAAATCATATCTTATTTTATTTTCCTGTGGCCAACCCTGTAAGTAAGGCAATGTAAACAAGATAATTTTATGTACATTTAAAGTATTGAGATAATCAATATTTTAATAATTGAGTTTTGTTTACATTGCCTCTTCCATCCAACAAGAATTATTAATGTGCTATTAGGGCAAAACTTACTAGTTAAAACTTTATTCATTATATGACTAAAGGATGCAATAATTACTAACCAGTCCATTTAAACAGTTATTTAATATCATGCCCAAATTTTTTCCTATGTCATCACAATACATAATAACTTTTTTTTTAATATTTAAATTACTTTTTAAGTTAATAGTCTTTGCCATGGCACTGTCATAGAGTGTAGGTGAAAATAATGAGCCCTTTTTAAACAGTAATTAAATAATTAACATGAAAGACACAAATAAAATGAATTATACATGACACCAAATATAATAAATATTAATTCAAGAATATTGGAACAATAATTTGAAAATATATACTTAATACACATATTTCGAATATGATAAAATTTTAGCATGCATTTCTTAGACCCATTGGGGCTCTGGGCACTTCAGGATAAATGGGATCGCAATGACATGGGGTTAGTAACAACAAGCAATAGAATCTGGCTACGCTGAATGTATGTGGAGCAATGAATGACAAGATGGTGTGTAAGCCCGAGACTGCTATGGATACGAATGAAAGTAGGCGTAAAAAAGTGGTTTGTTTTAGAGATCTATGCCCCAGACATGTCCAAGCCCATTTATAGCTGAGAGCAGTTTTGGGAGATGGAGTAAGGATGATATTAATGAAAAGTAAGGAAATGAAAATATTGTTATATTAGGAGATTTTAATGGAAGGGTTGCGGTGAAGAGGCTTGATGATGAAAGTATAATTGAGAATGTTGAAAGCCTCCTCACCATATGTATGGAAAAGAATATTTTTGTGACGAACACTTTCTTTCGTCATAAGAATATTCACATGTATACATGGGAGAGAGGTGATAGATTTCATAATTGTGGATGTAAGAATGAGAGTGCAGTGGTAGATACAAGAATTTACCGGGAGTCCAACATAGGGACAGATAATTACTTGGTCTTATGCCGAAATGACTTTTTACTTCCCGCGATTTTTTATTCTCAATCGCACTCAAACAAGTTCAAGTCAGGTCCGGAACTTTTGGTGCTTTGTATAAATTAATTAGAATTTTCTACACTGGGAAATTTTAAGATTAAACTTTCATTTTTACGATTCGAAGATATTTATAATTTTTGTATTAATAGGCGAGTAGGTTTATATTAATAATAACCTTCACAATTTTTTTATCAGTTTTGTGCTTAATGTTTCAGTAAACATGCAGTTGAAGAAGTTCGACGTACAGGCAAGATCTGTGTTCTTGATATTGAAATGGAAGGAGTTAAACAAGTAAAATGCACGGATTTGGATCCACTTTTAGTGTTTGTAATGCCCCCATCAATTGAAGAACTCGAAAGACGACTTCGTCGGCGTAACACGGATCCGGAGAACGCTTTAAGAAAGAGATTGGCAACTGCGAAACGGGAAATTGAATTTGGTATGTAAAATTATTTGAATTTATAATGTAACATTGAATACCGTGTGATGGCGGGAAAGATAATCTACTACCCTAAATTCTCCCGACTGTGTAATGAGATTTGACAAAGGGAAGCAAAAGATGAGATGGGCAGCAGCATCTGTATTATCATCCTGTAGTTGCAAACCCACCTACCAAGCATTGCAACTATAGCATATATCGCCCTCTATGACGCAATATGCAAAAGGCCTATGTGCAGCTTTTATTGCTGTCACCTTTAAGAACGTACCATGGAATTCAATACAGCTTGTTGTTTTAGTGGCTTTTTAAATTTGTACTAATCCTTAGGAAACAGCATTGGCTCCCAGTTTGCCTGACGAGGATAGTAGTCTTGTTTTTCTTGATTAATTACAGGCTTAATCAATACTGGGGGCTTTAATTCTTCTAAACACGCAAAAGCTTTCTGCTTAAACGCTTCTGAAGTTGATCTCCAAGAGTTTAAAATTATGAGGATATTAAATCAAAAGTTATTTTTTTAATATATAAAAAAATTAAATTAGTATTTTCTGTATTATGTGGGTTATCGTAACAAGCGGAAGGGCAAAGAGTGAGCATGCGCATACCAAAAATTGGCGCAAATACCTAAATGACTCAGTGGCAGGCTTATGTTGTCACGAGCTGGTGTGATGCTACCCTTTTTTTATAGAAGAGTGGGTAAACGAGCATGCGGCTCACCTGATTGTAAGTGTACACCGTCGCCTATGAACAACTGCAACACCAGCTAAATAAATAGCAGGCCTTTTAAAAAGGAGTAAGCCTGTTGCTTTAAGCATAGGTTTAATTTTTACTTAATAGATGTATGCGTAAATGTGTCGTGTTAAAACTGATAAATATTAATTGCGGGGATATTCGTCACTTAAAGCCGATCATCATTGTACGTATAATAGCGTTATTATTGCGAATTCTAATGTCGAATAACAGGATTTCTTCATCAAATTTTTGAATATTTTTGAATAAAAGACAAAAACGTATTACGCTCAAAAATGGCACCATGCAAACGATGATCAAGTGAGTGGGGCTAAAAACTACATTTAACGCGCCAGTTACTCAAACACGCGTTTTGTGAATCATCTATATGATAGACATTCCTATGTGTGTTATTTGAGCGCCTGATACTTGTACTATTAGGCGCTCCAGAATTATCCATTCTTTCTGGGACACTCGATAGAGATTTTTTATAGAATTAAACATGACAAGCAAGTGCCCATTTCACTTGATAGTAAGTGAATGCTGTGGCCCATAGACACCTACATTATTCCTCGATTAAGCAAATGCGTTGTCACCATTGAAAACAAAAGAAAGCATTGTTACCAGTAACAAGGGTCACTGGTTCTCACCACTAACCATATAAAACACTACAGTTTTATGGTGCTATATATTTAATAAAATAATTAATTAATATAATAACTTAAATGCAAGAGGTATAATTTAAGGCTTACACGGTTTCACTAAATACACGAACACAATTCTGAACCTGTACATAATCCATAAGAATTTGATTAGGAAAAGGTGTAAACGTGTATTACATGTACAAAAATTAAATTATATGTAATTGAAATAAAATTACAATTATTTTATACCTTAATTATTTTTATTTTTTTCTGAAATAACATGTTCGTCGTTAAGTTTGTGTAATAACCGTGTTTCTGCATGTTCACAGACTGTCTTATACACATCTACAATATCTGTCCATGTAGAAATGTTTTCTTGGTATTGTATATTTTTTGTTAAAGAATTGTTTTTTATTCCTTTGATTAAATGTGGTGAATCAAATATGACAAGCATATGTATCATGTTATCTAAAAATATAAAACATATTAATAATAAGGCAATTCTATTAAAAGTAAACATGACGGTAAAGTTTTGATTAATTGTACCTGGGTTTTTATGTTTTCTTATTTGAACTGCTCTAGTTTCCTCTTGTAGTAGTTTAAGAGCAGATCTGAATGTAGCCTCTTGATCTGAGACTGATGTTAGTGGAATAAGCCCTGTCCCACCAACAGCCGCAACAATTTCTTTTTAAATATACTTTTCACTTTAATGGGAGATGTTGAACCTTCACTATAGTAAAAGGCAATCGGTTGATATAAGTAAATGCAAAGATAGGGCGGAATTAAATCAACGCAACCAAACGGAAATTTATCAGTATATCATCAGTAATATCACTCAGTGACACAATGAATCAGTGACAAAACAAAATGAAAACAAACAATATGGCTGCAACGACTTGCATTGGAGTTTAAAAGGGATGTAGAGAGACGAGGGGGGGGGGGGGGGATGTTAGCTGGTATATATAATTTTGCTGTGACATTTCCTATGTCCAATATTTTCTCTATGAAGATTACTGCCCGTGCTTTCAGCTGTTAGTTAGTTTTAAATATATTCTGATCCTTTTTTAAGATTTTTGGCTTGGATGCTTGTCCCTTAAGACATGTCTTAATTTATCTCAGTATCAAGTGATAATAATACTTTAAAGTACAACTGCTGCACAAAATGTTGATGCGTCGCATTGTGTAGTTTTTGGAAGATTTCGACGTCAACATGATCCAGCAGACAATTGGCGATAGTATCTCTTTGACTTTGTCTTGAGATTCTCGTCACCATCGGAGCACTTGTTTCACCGTTTTCATTAATAGTTCACATGCGCAGATATTTAATACACGAAATCACACCACTTTTACATATCAAAATCCACTTCAAATCATTATACAGAAGCAGCAATCCGCCGCCGGTCAAGTTCCCGCCAAAATTTCTATTTTTCTCCTGACAGTATACTAGTATAGATAACATAATAGTTGAGTACTGTCTAAGGTGCAAGAGGTCTGGGGTTACAATTGCAAATCCATCTTCCAAAGATGGCTATTATTTCATTGATTATTTATTTACTTATTTTTATTCCAACACCAGCTGCATAGATACATTTTATTTAGCTATGTAAGGTATTCATTTGCATATGTAACATTATGGTAAATCTTTACAACTTAGGCCTATGTTCAGCTGTGGACTTTTAGATGCTAAAGATAATAATATAATATTACCTTCTGTACTTTTTTAACTTAACATTTATTTATCGACTCTGGTCTATATGAGTGTGTCATAATTTATTTCAATTTGATTTCTTTTCAGGTCAACAGCCTGGGAATTTCCATGTTATCATTCTCAATGATAATTTGGATAAAGCATATTTAGAGCTTTGTGAATTTATTGCTAAGAATGTTCCAGATAAAGGAGAAGGTAAATTATTTGTTTTAACCGTGTAGTGTCAGTGTAAGAATATCCACTACCCCATATCGTCCCGAGAGTGTTGAAAAGAGACAGAGGGAAAATGAAACAGGGATGTGCAGCAGCATCTTCCTGATGAAACACCAAATAATAAAAAATGCTTGCCACGCGTGGAAACTATGGCAAAATCCCCCCATGAGATAATCTATGAGGGAGGCCTATGTTCAGCGATGGACTTGTATATATGATGTAATGGATGGAAATTATTTGTTCATACAATTTCTGCTTAAGTACAACTTAGGTTTTCATATTCTGCACATGTTTTAAATCAGTGGTCCATTAAAAATCATTCTTTAATTCTTTCTATTTTACTAACAATCTATATTATTCTATGTTAGATAGATTTGATCCAATAGCTCTTAAAGTTGCTGTAAAGCTAAATTGTAGCCAGGCATCTCTTTAAATAGAAAAATGCTCATAATATAGCATGTCAGCACCTCTCTAGGGACACTTTTAACACTTCTTCCAACATAATAATAGGTCTTTACCTATGAAATTGCCGTTCTGCAGTATTCGCTATTTCAAATCAAAATCATTTTTGTTTGACTGAGACTTCCAATTTTAAATTAATTTTGTTTCAAAAACATGGAATTCTTTTTTAAAAATTAGTCATTTGTTTATTGATTATCAGCGTTATGTTTTCATCGCATTTGAATCTGTTTTGTTACCATTGATACGTTAAAAATTCGAGTAATTATGGAAGATGAGTACCGTCGTGGCAGCAACACTGTACAAGCGGCACGCAACATCAACGACGTTTTCTGAGCAAATACTACAAACGAATGCACCACCTGTTAATTTGTTTGCCCGTTTCTGTTCTGGAAATATCGACCTGAAAAATGAACCCTGCGGTCGTCCGAAAAGGTTGGTCAACAATGACTTCGTTTGTGGAAGCTGATGATACTCAACCCACGGCTGAATTAGCAGCAGCTTTTGACGTTAGCATCAAAACAATATTGGTTCATTTGCGTCAAATTGGCAAGGTAAAAAATCTTGACAAATGGGTGCCCCACGAACTCAATGATCGCCATTGCGAAGTCCGCGTCAAGACGTGCTTTGCACTGCACAACAGACACACAAACGAAGGAATTTCGAACCGCATTGTTACCTGCTACGAAAAATGAAGTGGGTTTTCTGGAAGAGATTGCTATGTAGCAATAAGACCGCCCTTTGTATTTCCCTCAATAGTTGTTTAGTTTTTATTTTTGATGTCTTTATCTTTTCTTGGTGTACAATAAAGAGTATTGTATTGTAATTTTGTTTGACAATCACAAGCGCTCAGCAAGTTGGTTGGATTCTGATTCAGTACTTAAACAATGTCCTAAACGAAAACTTACCCCTAGAAACGTGATGGTCCCTGTTTGGTGGTCTAGCGCCGGTGTGATTCATCACAAAAAAAAAAAAAATTTCAATACCCGAGAGGTAGTATAAAATGCCTTTGCAGAATATGTCTCCCGTCCATCTGAGAAGTTAAGAATAAACTGCCACTGCATTGTCAAAGATGCATTGATTGCATGGGCGATTACTTAAAAAAATACATTAGCTTATTTCATAAATATGGCAATTTCATAGGTAAAGTTCTAATATGTTTGATATCTCTTCTACAAAATGTAACTTTTTAATGTGTAAATGATGATTATAATTTTTAATTACTTCATAATAAACTTAATCTTTAGTAGTTAATTTCCGAAATACTAATGCGTCGCTCCGCCACAGTCTTGGACCTTTTATCTATTTTTAGAATTCAATCAAAACCACAATTGTTGTAGCATGCAAACATAATGCACATAAATTTGACTAAATTAGTTCAAATTAAATTTGAATCAAATACTCACTAATTTAGTAGCACGGATGATAACTGAACACTATTGAAATTGAAACATAACACTTATTACTTCTCTATATTATTCATATATGTATTTTAATGCATCTTTTTTGCATGATATGCATGCACGTAAATTTACTTTAATACACTTCAATGATAGTGTCCAATCATATGCGAAGTGAGAGTGCAAACATCCATCACTTATGTACTTTTTAGCTTTTATGTAAAATTATGTTATTGTATTGCATTTATGTTCCATCACTTTGCACTTAAGCTTCTACTAGCTTGCCTCTGTATGGTTACTTTATGTGGCGCTGCGTACCATAGTAGGGCTGTTAAAATGCTACTACTGGACGCACGCATTATTTTTAGATGTATATGTGTGCGTGTTTACGTGTTGCTATAAGACGTTGTTTTCGGCGTCATTGGAAATGTACGCCGAGTTCCCTTTATCTCTCTATCTACCTTTCTTTGTTGGTATGAAATCGTGAATAACATTATTTTCTTGTGTTTGACTGAGTGACAATTAACCCTACTAAAAATTTATTGCAGAACCAAATGGCACAGATGAAAACTGAAAACTATGGAAGTTGAATAATTACCTCTGCCAGTCACATCCAGGATATATTTTTCTTAGATATGTGTATATGTGGTTTTAGATATTAGTTAATATATTTCGCTATTTTTCAAAGCATCGATGTTATAGCTCTACAAAGCTGTTAGTGTGTAAAGGCTACGTTTGAAACGCATTTACGGAAATCTAAGATAATATTTAACGTTGTAAGATTGTCATAAAATGCAAAAACTTACATGCATTTATATCATTTAATACAATACACTGGAGCAAAGTGGTTTAAAATAACTATTGTCAATATTTCATACACATCTCATGTATCACACATCAGTATGAGTGTGAGTTCCATTTACACCACTTAAAATGCTAAAGGAAAATGCTAGCAATGTGTAGTTGCATGTACAATAATTTATTTTGTATCTATAATACGCGCATGGAGCAATATGTATTAATATTTATTGGCATATGTTTGCCAATTGTAGAATCTAGGTTTATTAAGTGCAATAAAATAACTTTGGTTTTTGTTAGTCAGACGAAATGTAAAATGTTTAATAAATTTAAGTTATCTGCGATATTAGTTCTGTTAAATATGGCGCTAAAAGAATTTACGCCAAACAAGTTTGGATATTACATGGGAGTTTCAATCCAACACATCACAACTATTGTACAAACTATACTACTATTGTAACAAAAAACTTAAAACTTGAGAGGATTGTAAAGTGCCCGTACGCGGCGCGAGTAGGTTTTTTCAAAAATGCTATCTGTTTCAAACCGCTCGCCCCGTTTCGCCGTGTCGTGTGATAAAGAGTTTCAAGTCTTGGAGGCAATTAAAATTAAAGGCAGTAAAATTTAAAAAAAATTACAATCGACTTCAATGTAAATTATTAAGGGTAACTAGAAAACTACTGGTCAGACCTTGATCAAATGTATATGGAACCACATGAGAAGCATCAGCTTTCAAATAAAAACAAAGAATCATCAAAATTGGTTCACCTAGAAAAAAGTTATTAGATAACACATAAAAAATACAGTCGAATTGACAACCTCCGTTTTTGAAGTCTGTTAAAAATAAAAACGCTCCCAGAAGTTTTTAAGTAAAAAAAAAAATAGATACTTAGATGCTAATAACTTATATCGTACGCAATAGCTCTTTAAAATCAAAACGTACGGATTTTAGTTTTTCATTATATCTACCACATTTCCAAAAACTATGAAAGCTAGATAAGATTTACCGGGGGAAAAACGTTATCGCCTTTTATATGAAAGTTTACAGCTTCACAATCCTCTTAAGGACCGGTATTCGGAGACAATCTCGAGCTCTAACTCGAACATCACAATGTCAACATTTGAGTTTACACCATACTATACACTCTATATTTTGACATTGTTTAGTTTAGAGTTTGAGTTTAAACTCAAGATTGTTTCTAAATACCGGCTTTAATCTTAACCTATGAACTATTAAATTGAAAATAACGTCTACATGTTTGACGCTATCACGTGTATATTAAGAGTTTAAAAGAGTTTTAATATTGATAAGTATGGCACCATTAGAAATCATATAAAGACTTGAAAGTAAACATCATATAAAACTAATTTTACAGATTTCATCACGTTTAATTCTCGACTTGAATCCATCCGCATCTTTACCGCTTCTTTTTGTTTAAAGATAATGTAAATAATGTTTATGGTTTGGAGGCCTCGACCTAGACATTATAAAAAGTAAATTAATGAACTTGTGACAAGTGTTGAGCTGAAAAACATGCGATTCAAATTACGATGAAATATTAACAAAATTAACCAAAAAAGATTCTGAAATATACTGTTGGGTTTATAATAGTATTTCAACATATTCATAATGATTTAAATATAAAAGATCATAAATTAATATTCTATTCAATTCCATGAGGGTGACATGATTTTTTACATCGAACCTTTAATTAATAAAGAACTAAAAATCCTTGACATTGCGAATAGTCTTAAGCTCCAAGAAACTGGCATCTGATCTGTGATCATGTTTGGGATCTCTTCCACTATTACATCAGATTTGGTAGATCAGATCACAAAATATCACCAATTTCTGCCGAGGATGATTTGAACCTCAATCGATATTTAAAAACACATATTATATCTTATTAGTGCAGTTAATTGGATACTATTATCATATTGTTATAATAACTACACCACTGCAAACCATTAAGACATTGTAGTGCTTTTGTGTAGAACGAATCATATGAGCTTAATATTTATTAAGATAATAATTTTAGTTCCTCTTTAAAAGTGGGCGCTACAAAGACGCAAAGTATTGATACGCCAGGTATTTAAATAAGGTAAAATTAAACGCGATGAAATTTGTTTATTTAGTTTTATTTAATTATTGACACAAATTGATTAAAACATTTTAATATTCCATTTTTAACATTTTCTTGTAATTAAAATGTTTTAATATTATAATGGTGATCCAAATAATAAAAACAAATTTGAGACATACATCATGAATAAAGAAACTGCAGGGCAGAATATTGCATAATATGATGAAACAAATAATTTGTAAATTGATCTTATTAAATCTCATTATCATTGCAATTCTTTGTCAATATTTTTAACAATGATCTCAATACATTCTTATATATAATTTAAATGGTCAAGTGTGCCAAAGTAAAGATCAATAATTTTTCAATAATTAAATAAGGTCTAATAAAATATACACAAATTTGTGTTATAGCTAATAACTAAAAGTAAAATTAATAACTGTTTTTATATAATTCTAGAATATACGCATAATATGAAGGTCAAATTTGTCTCTCCTTATTTTTTTTAAATAAACTCACGCCTGTCATCTAAAGGGGTAGGCAGTTATTACAGAGTAAAGACATTGATTTGGCATGATCCGTACACACCTCAAATTGATTTTTCCTCTTATATTTTTATCATCATGTATCTTTGTAAAAATTAATGTACATGGGGCGGCTGTTACCAACTTGTGTAAAGTAAGTACTTGTGATTCAATTTTAATGATTATTTTTATATTGTATAGGCAGTGACCTCTATTATACCAGTACGCTGGACTGGCTTTACCATTTTGACGCTGGTAGAAGAAGTGAGCGTCCACGGAACTAATAATAGAGATAGGACCGTGTGACAAAATATATCGATAAATATTCTAAACCCAGGCCCATCATTCTATTTATATATAAATTTAATACAATGCCATACAATAAATAAATGTATCAAATCAATATTTATGTTTTAGACACCAGCTTTATACCTAATATAAAAGAAAAATCGACGCTGCATTAGTCTATCTACGTGTTTCTTCTTAACTATAGAATGGGTTTTGTTTTGGGTTTCACCATTGGTTATTATACTTATAGGTCCATTCGAGAGATTTAAAATCAATATACTAGTTACCATAGAGTGAAATACATTTTTTTATTGACTGTATAAAGCATTTACACCACTGAAAACTATTCTAGAAGTTTTTCTAAGTAGCTTTCTACGACAGTCTTTGTGAAACTTTTCGGAAATCTTTGGGCTCCGTAAATCCTCCTTTAATTGTGGAAAAGGTCAGGTCTAAAGAGTGTGTGTTCAAGAGGTCAGTTATATGCACAGAATACGGAATAATGTCTTATTCCGTGTTCTGTGGTTATATGGAAGAAAGAATGAAAGAGATATTTATTTGCAACAATTTAATTCCGTTCATCGATTGACCAGGATATTTCAACTTTTTGGATTATTTTCCTCGATGACTACAGTTTCAATGATATTAGCTTTTACTGATGTTATCGCGTTTATTAACTTATTTTATATTCGCGACGTTTCCAGTACTTTACAGCAACCATGGTTAATCACGGCAACCTTTCGTTTAAAATTATTTATTTTTGGTCCGATCTACATATATAGAACAAGCTTATAGTATCTTGCGGTTGTATGATTGGGTTAAGATTTAATTTTATTAATTATAGGATTCCAATCAGATAGTAGGAAATTTAGATGTTTTTTTTTTAATTCAATAGCCTCATCCTTGAAAGGAATTTGGTTTGCGTTCTATTCAATCTGATGGGGCGATTCTGTACTACGTCACATCAGCTGTGTTTTTAATTGATCTTTTAGTTTGTTCTATGTAACAGAGCTCATATTTACAATCAAGCTTGTATAGTTCTGCATCTTGCAGAGGGATATTACATTTTGCCGGTGGTAAAAACCGGAAAAATGAATGGACTCTCACTTCAAGATATAGCTAATCTTATCAGTGACACCTCTGAAATAGCAGTACAGGAGGCACACGCTCGACTGTAGCCAGTTTCATTCGTTCAGTGACGTAGGCGCGGGGCCCCAATTTTATTGTTATGTAAAACTTGCTTGACGTGTTAGGGCTCGGCTGCCAGGTGTTTACGCCTGCCCGACTAATTTAAGGGTGGACCTATCCAGACTGACTTCTAGGTAGAAGAGTCCTACCATCTAGTAAAATATTCAAAAATAAAATTGCTTGCTTTCCTAGTAGATCTATACTAATATAATAAAACGGTAGAATTTTTTTTCTGAGTTGTCATGTCGCGCGGCTCATACACGTGAAATACGCGGGTGTAACCTCGGGGCACAGCTAGTGCTAAATAAACAGTAGGTTGTGAAGGCGTATTACAGTTTATTTATTTTTTATTCGACCCAAAGGAAAAATTTAAAAGCTATTTATAGATAATTAATTAAAGATCTGGTTAGGTTATCTAGACATTTGGCATTCTATAAAAACTAAAATGTTCTTATTCACTATTCACAAATAAAAATTAATGTACAGAATTTTGTATTGAAGCTTTGGTAATTCTAGATTTAAAGGTAGAATGAGGGCTAATAATCTTCCACTAACCAGATGTCGCTAGTTTTGACCACAGACTACTAAGTGGTTGTGACTGAGGTAAAGTTTTTTTACACACATGCACACACAAATACGCACGCACACACAAACACGCGCGCGCGCACACACACACACACAGACACACACAGCACACACACACACACAACACACACACACACACACACACAGACACACACACAACACAACTCTTTTTTGTTGAATGTATTTAGTTAAGGGAGGGCGAGGACCTTCTACCACAAGTATCTTTATACTTAAAAGAAGTCCTCAAACTTGTACTAATTTAAGAATATGTTGGAAACAATAAATTTTCAACTTTCACAATGTCACTTAATTGAGAAATTACTTTTAAATAATAGTTTATCAGTTTCTACAGTGTTATATTAGTACATAACATAATGCATCAGTGATTTGATATACTGATGATACTTTAAACCTCATTTTATTTTTTTCTTTTAGTTATAATTAATTATAATTTAGTTTATTAGTTTTTAATGTAATAAATATAAAATATAACTAATAATACAAAAAGAAATATTAACCTTTACATTTTTCTAAGAAATTATCTTCTCCGCAATGAAATCTGTCAAATGATTTACCTCATTGTAAAGTGGCGCCGCCCTGGTGGCAGAAAAATTCGTGGATGCCCTCATTGATTTTGTTTGAAAACTTTTTCAAATCTTATTTGATATTTAACAAATTTGACCTAAAAATAATTAATGAACATATTGAGCAAACATATTATGCATGGGCAGAGTAGAATTATAAATCCCCTGATAACTTAGTTCTAGAATATTGAATATATAATACACACGCTTCTATTCTAGAAGCGTGTGTACTTCTATAATTGTATACTTTAAACGATAGAACTTGTTAAACTGTTTGATACGATATTATTATGATTTTGTATTTATAAGCGACTTCTGTGGATATAATCATTAGCCTGCAGCAATGAAATTAAATGCCCCCTAAAAAATGTTTGTGGCCTCGAAAAAATAGTTTGTTAGAAGACCCACTGATAAACATATACGTGATATTTATTATGTATTTACATTAACAATTTTTTATACTATTAGACATAACAGTCTAAATTATGATAAGAGTGATGACTTGGAATCCTGCAGACAAATCAAATAATGCTACAGATGGATTATTAATATTATCCATGAGTAATATTATCTATTACCCTTTAAATCTGCACATCATTGGATGCACTAATGCTTATTGGTAAATTTAAGTAAGAGCAGAGAAGTACCAATACGACAGTCACCTCTTTAAAATTAATATCATTGATATATTTGTAGCAATTTGTTACCATAATATTACCGAATCATTTTTCAACAACTACCATTGATGGATGTTATTCAGGGGACACTCTTAAACAACATCATCTTTTGATAATGAAAAGAATTCTATAATCCTTCCAAATTTTAAGTTACCCACACAGACGTAATCACACACACACCCTAGTTCCCACATTTTTGTTTGTCATACGCAATCGCGAACCACCCACATTCAAATATGCAGCGCACGGCAGGAGGCGCGTTTGCATACTAGTGGAATTCTCGGACCTTGATGTATTTGTGTGTGTGTAATTCGCGTATTACAAACAAAAGTATAATCTATGATACTTCATACATTCAGTGTATCATTTCATCCGTTTTTTTAATGTCAGTGGTCACACTCACTTTTTTTTGACAATATGATGTGTAAGTTTTTCTTGCCAGTGTGCTAATAATATATTGAACATGTTTCAGTACTTAAAAGTTTTGCTTTGATTGAGCTTGGAATGTTTTGTGTTTACCTAAAAATGGAATGATGTGTATTGTTGTAACTTTAATAAAGCCTTCTTAAATATTATGAAATGTATGGTGATTATTAAACCAGTGTATAATATTTATAATGATATTTAACATTGTTTGCTTTTAGTGTTCTGAGGGCTATAAGCGCAAGATTGGAGAAAACACAAGACCTCTTGTCATAATATTTTTTTATGTCAACATTATAATATATCAGTAAATATTTTGTTCCCAGCAATAATATTAAATCATCATTTGAAATTAATTTTGAGGCTGAAAAATATCTTTTTAAAATTCAGACCATTCCAATGTATGTAATGTAAATGTATATTAATTTCTGCATTTTAAATATATTATAAACATAATTAATTGCAAGGAATTATAAATAAAAAGATGTTGATTGTTAGTCTCTCTATTGGATGTTAATAAATGTATTGAAAAATTATGTTATCTTATTACCACACAATATCATAAATACCCTAGTGAATATATATATCATCTTATTAAAATGAAACTAATACAGTCAATCCATTTGCACAACTACTACTTTGTTGTCAATTTAGCAGCACATATTAAAGTGCCTACACATTATCCAAAGTATGTTATTGTGTAATTGTTTGGATAAAGTACACACAGGAGCAAATCCGGTACATAATAAGATTAGTAGCCAGATAAACTGATCACTGCACTATAGAGGTTGTCAGGAAAAAGCAAATTTTATTCCTAGAAAATGAACTTTGAGCACCAGAAATTACTAAACAATCAATGTAGTAAAATAATGATTTAACAGTTGCTATTTTTTAAAATTGTCATTTTTGATGAAATAAAGTATTGAAGTTACATACAAAATATTCTCATTAAATGTGTAACATTATTTTATATGTTTATAAATGTAACTAACAAAGGTAAATGGCTAACTTATGAAAACAATAATCCCATGAAATATCATCAATTATCAAGAGAAGTAAAGAAAATATCAAAGACATAATTAATGAACATACATAGTTTATAAAGAACTCTCAGGAAACATTGTAAAGTAAACAAATCTAAAGCACAATACTACTGTCTTTGTCCCATCGGTCTCTGTGGGAATGGGGCGGAGTGTTTTCACAATCACCACTAATTACTGAAGTTTTCGAGATATTTTTTAGTGAAACTGAACTGCCTGTTATAATTTGTTTTGACAAGGCCTTAAATCTAGGAATATGAGAAACATGCTTTAGATGTTTCGCTGGAGGCTTTTCTTTTTTTGGTTCATATGTGCTCGCTGATTTTGATCGTGAGTGATCAGTGTCTGCCTTGTTTTTCATGCAAGATAATGGGGTTCTAGATCCATTTATACTGACTGATTTTGCTATTTTTGGAGTATCATTTGCAACTGATTCATCTTCATATATTAGGATACCATCGATAGAGTTGCTAGTCTGATAAAGTTCTGCATTTGTACTCTGCAAAGCTTTTATAAGTGTATCATCCGACATTTCTTCAACATTACCATCACTTGCATCCTCCTCAGTTTTTGTAACAACTATAGGTGTTCTTTCAATACCCGTTGATGGAGAACGAGGATCATCATCTAATATCTGATAAGTAGGGATTTTTTTTAATGTTAAATCAGATTTTTCAAAACATTCCTCATTCTGAATAATTTCTTCACTGTCTTCAAATTTTTCAGTTTCTGTATAGTCAAAATTAGTTTCGAGTAATTTTGTAGGCTTTTCAGTATTAACAGTATTTATATTTTCTTCAATAGCATTATTTGAAATTGTGGACGATCCCAAAGGCTCTTCAATCTCTCTAACAGTTTCATTGAGTGAAATGTCATAAAATCTATCACATAAATTCTTAGCAACTATTAAATCAGGACTTAATTTTATTACATCTTCTGATGTATTAAGACTGTCATGGAAGTCATTTTTTAAGCATGGGCTTGCATAAGTATCCTCAGTTTGCAGTCTTAAATTATTTTTGTCAATTATTCCATTTTTATCATGGGAAGGTATAATTATAGGAGTTCTTTCAAATTCTTGTGTTGGGGAACGAGGATCATATGACTGCAAGTGATTTTTTATAACAGCAGAAAGAATGGGATTGTTATGTATGAGCTTTTCATCTGCTTGTCCACTTTCAAATGTTTTTCTTAAGTCTACATTCTTTGTAATATTGTGTTTTGAACCATTCTTGTTCTGTAACACAAAAATTAAATTTAGATAATGCAACTTAAAAAAAAGATTCAGACACCTATATGAAAATTTAATCATTTTGAAAAAAGGCGTAGACGCATACCATTATTCATAAGATAAAATTAAAAAAGTAACAATTTACGACCCTAATACGAGATATACTAAGTAAGCTAATAAAGACGTATTTATAGATTAAAATATACCTGTAAAGGAGTCCGAGTTATTTCAGGAGTAGGCGATCTAGGATCAGGATTAGAGTCAATATCCAAGTCATTTTTTTGTACGCAAGCAGCTGTCTCGTTGATGGATTTACTGCTGTTACTTCCCATGATTCGTCTTCGATTTTAATACACGATTTAAAAAGTTCTTTATGATTGTAGCACTAAAACGTAGTCATTATCATAAAATATACTCAAGTTGTTAAGCAAGACTATTAATAAATTGGCAGACAAAATCAAACAAAACTAAAAACATGTAACGGCTACTTATGTCAGAAATAATTCTAATTTTAAAATTGCAGTTTTTTTTGGAGTTTATGGCCTAGTATCTAGACCTTTAGGCCAATGCTTATTGCGGTTGGCATAGGCCAGGGTTGCTAGACTTGAATGAGCGATAGAATGGCGGGTAACTAAAAATTGTATTCCTCTTCCCCAAGAAGATTATTTTAACAAAAATCGTGTTTAAAAAGTTATTAGCCTAGATTTATTTTATTTTGCAATCAAATTAACATATTTAGTAAATTAAGGTACAAAATAAGAGCTATAGAGTTTTATTGTGCATATTATTCAACATAAACGGATGAAACAGATTTGTATATTGATCGCATTTTATTTAAAATGACATCAAATAAAATGAAAAGGTAATTGTTCGCGCCAAACGCTGTCAAGAATCGACGCCAGATGGCGCTCGGCTCGGCGCGATACCGGTTGAAGTTCGGCCGAGCGTGGCAATGGCGCGCGGGTCGCGAGCGAAAAAAGAGGAGTCGTATGTCAGCTGTGCTTGGAACAGCACGCTGTCATTTTTGTCTATGTCTATTTGAAAAATTATGTATATGTTTATGATAGTGTTTAATCATTTTGCTTTGCGAAGAAGTACGGCTGTCCCTTACGTTATTGTTTTGTTTAATTTGCAAGTTGACCTATGCGCATCGGTGATTAATTTGGTTGAATTGATTCTGTAGTTGAACATTGATTCTTTTGAAAAATTAGTTGAAATATGAGCATCGGACTACTTGTCTAACAGGCTAGCTAGTTTTGAAGATTATCAGATTGTACTATTTTAGTAAATGATAATATGGTGGGTGGCCTGGCTAGGCCTACTTGTTGAAAATTCATAGTAGGGACTATCTGTGCGTTTCGTTCGGCTCTCCACAGACGACGTTCATGTGGAATTTGTGGGTGCGCTCTGCCCTGAAGTAACTGCTGGCACAAAATTTGTCTGGGCAGCTTTGTGTAGCGTCGCTGTTTGCAGAGCTGATCCGGTCGGATTGCGGAACTAATCATAGGGGCACAGATAGGTGTTTGAAAGAGGTCGTCGGACTTCTGTCCAGTACAGGACTTGTTAAAGTGCTGCGATGCCCAGGAGGGGCATCCAGTGGAGGCTGACCCTCCGGCTTGCCACATTAGGGCTATCTTTTGAGGCGTTGGTTAGGGTTGCAAGGTCTGATGGGTTGTCTAAGGTGGCCTAGTTTGGTTGTAGATTCGGTCTTGCAACTTGCCGTCGTGACTTTGTCCCGCTGACCGGTTTGCTCGCGGACCTCAATCCTTATGTCCGGGACGGGGGTTTGTTCGCGCCAAACGCTGTCAAGAATCGACACCAGATGGCGCTCGGCTCGGCGCGATACCGGTTGAAGTTAGGCCGAGCGTGGCAATGGCGCGCGGGTCGCGAGCGAAAAAAGAGGAGTCGTATGTCAGCTGTGCTTGGAACAGCACGCTGTCATTTTTGTCGGGAACTCGGAATAATTCGGCGCGGCCAGTAAATATACGGTCTACCATTGTGACGCGCATTCCTGCTGGAGAGATTCCCAGGGACTCATTGTGTCTGACTCAGAATCTGCATAAGTGCATTCGGCAATATTAGCTAGTGCGGCTTCTGATATTCTAGAATTTAACTGTTGCGACGCGAAACGGTAGTGACCTTTGATCCGTAAACTCCGTGTGCGTTTTGTGCGTTAACCTTATAACCCGCGATAGTTAGTGGCTTCTGTAAGTTAGTAAATCGTACGATAGAGTTAATTGACTGACATCGTGACGAACGAGGAAAGTGACTGTGGTCCGGCGCCGAAGCAGTCTGAAGTGGTGCAGCATTTGGGAGCAGCCTGGAACTCGGCCGCGGCTGGTCGCCTATGCTTGACAAGGCCCACACATTCACACCTCACTGTACACTACTCGCCATCCACTATTACACACACTCACGGCCTGCCCAAGCCTTGGTACCGAAGTTAGCTTCGGATAATGGTAAGTACTATGTCTTTCTAGCGTCCTCCCATCTGGTTTATTGTAATTAGGAATTTCCACGTGGCCATATTCTGGCCCCGCCCCTCTGCTGCTCGTCGATGGGATTACTCATGGGCGCTAATCCCGTCAGCCTTGGTTGGGGCAGCTAGGGGCGTGTACAGTAATCTTATTCTAGTGTTGTGCAGTGTTTGTTGGTGTGTAAAATGATTTAAAAATAAATGTTTTGTTTAACCAGTACTTTCGGTAATAAGAATAATATATACAATAAATAAATAATTTAAAATAAGAAAAAGTTGAATTATTATGTATGATTTTAATCTTCAGGTCGTGTAAAAAACAATTTGTTTACGACTTAAATCAATCATCTGGTAACCCTGGTATAAGCAAAGGAATTTGTATTGCCACCATTGTGTAGAATTGACTTTAGCCCGTAGACAGAGAAATTTCTCTGTCTACGCTTTGGCCTTTGGAACAACCATAGATAGAGTATACATTAGATTAGCGATGGAAGTGATTAGAGTGACACCAAAAACAAAAGGTGAGTGAAATGTGCATTGCTGCGAGACGAGTGGTGCTGCGCCTTGTATCAAATTTAATTATAAATACGGAGCGCTGTGTCCGTGTCATAAAATGAATATCTTATGTTTGAAGGCATAAAAATAAAACTACAAACAAAACTTTTGTGATTTTATTTTCCACTAAAAATAAATAATTTATTGTAAAAATGTCGTTAGAGGTATTTTGCAATTTTGCTTTATACTTCAATCTAATAATCAAATAAGTTTCGATTATTAATTTAATAATTAAGTGTTTATGGTTTGATATTGCTGGCGAATCATACATATGTATGTCAAGTAAAAATCGTTTACTAATTTAAAGGCATTCGTTTACTAATTTTTGATATATTTTCGTTTACAATTTTTCTTTTCATATGTTTTCGGAATACTAGTTCAGAATGAATATCTAATTCATTAACTTCTTGAAAGGGATAAACGAGTCCACATACATCCGTCATGTTAATAAGTGAACCCTAAAAATTAAAAATAGAAAATTAAGATAATCACGAAGTTATAAGAGGATGCATCAAAAGAGTCTGCCTATTATAAGATATTACCGATAAGGTGATATTAACTCTGCGCGCGACTGATGGCGTACTTAATGTTGCCAGCTTAACTAATATTTTTTCCTTCATTTAATGTTATTACTAGAATTATATAATAGGTCACACCAACATGTTCTAATTTGACAATAAAACCTATATAACTTTAAAGCTATGTTTATGAAAATAACAATCGTTTTTGTTTCATCCAAATTGGTGCAGAAATACGAAAGTTATAACGTTTTAAATTTTCCGCATTTTTTTAAATTTTTACACGCTCGTTCTCTGTAACGTGACGTCGTTCGTCCAGCGAACGCGCAGTAGGTACTTGCTAAGTTCAGTACTAATCGCGCGCGGAAGTATACGGTCGTTTACTTCCGAGCGCGCTTCTTTCTTCTTATATCGAATGTCAGAGTTAATGTCGGGCTGACTGTATTAGATGATATAATACTTATAATAACCCCAACGACTATATAATGATTTTGAACTAATAATTTATGAATAATCTAATCGAATGTAATCAATATTATTTAAGATGAATAATTTAATCTAATAATCTAATCTATTATTATGAATAATCTAATCAATGAACTATTAATATTATTTGACATTTATATATTTATATATTATTTATATTTGTAATTTTACGTGGTATAGTAGAGCCATGCTGCAGCTATATTAATAGTATAGTTGTAGCACGAACGGGTCGGCTCGACCGGGGAAGGACCACGCTCTCACAGAATACCAGCGTAAAATAGCAGCATAATGCTAGTGTGTTTCGTATGGTGAGTGTAGAGAACCGGAGACCCATTTTACTGGAAAAGAGGCATTCTATCTTAGTTCTCACGGCTGATAACGCATCTGCATTTTAATTCGCAAACAAAGATAGATGTAGCTGTCTATGAGCCACAGCAACCACTTACCATCAGGTAGACTATGTGCTCGTTTGTCACCCTTATTCTATAAAAAATTAAAAAAATAAACATTTGTATGCCCATGAGGCTGATCAGATACTGAACTTTATTTGTGTTTAAATAAGACCTTTTTGTAAACTGTGAATCACAAATAAACTATTTGATTTAATTTATAAACTAAAGTATTGAACTTTTATATGATTATATTTATATGTATAGTCCCGGTGTGTAGTGCTGTATAAAAAAGGAAATGGAAGCGATCTTTGAAAAAAGACAGTCAGCTAATCTGCCAAAAGTGGATATTTTTATGGTTGCGCAGTATTTTTCAGAAAATTATGATTTTTTATCATCAGAAATGTGCCGTGTAGTGGCGGTCAAGAATATCCACTACCCCATATCCTCCCGTGGGTGTCGTAAAAGGCGACAAAGGGAAACAGGCAGGAGATGGGCAGCAGCATCTTCCTGATAAAAGCCAAATTACAATAAAAAAACTGCGGTTGCCAACCCGCTCGCCAAGCGTGGCAACTATGGCAAATACCCCCCTATGAATGACAGTAACAAAGAAACGGCCCCCAGTCCCCGGCGGCCCCGCTATTCCTGGCTACGCTGGCGACCATGGTAACGGCGGGGCAGGGGGTGCTAAGAATCTCCGGTGGAGGTTCGGTTGCCACCTTAGACGACTCGACCTGGCAACATACAACGCACGCACCCTGAGGACTGACGAGAAGATCGTGGAGCTGGAAGAAGAGATAGACAAGTTGCGCTGGCATATTATAGGATTATCCGAAGTCCCAAGAGAGGGGGAGGACACGGTAATCCTCGAATCCGGCAACTTGCTCTATCACCGGGAGGGCGACCAT